CTGAGTATTGCCTTGGCTATTCACAGTCTCTTGTGTTTCCAAATGAACTTCAGGGTAGATTTTTCAATTTCTGTGATGAATGTCATTGGGTTTTGATGGGAATTGCATTAAACATGTATATTGCTTTCAGTAGTGTAGGCATTTTTACTATGTTGATTCTACCAATCCATGAGCATGGGAGACCTTTCCATCTTCTGTAATCTTCCTTGATCTCTTTCTTCAGGGGTTTGTAGTTGTCCTTGTAGAGTTCATTCACATCCTTTGTTCAGTTTATTCCTAGGTATTTGATTTTTTTTTTTGAGGCTATGGTATATGGAATTATCTCCATATGTTCCTTCTCAGTTTGTTCATTGTTGGTGTATAGAAAAGCTAATGATTTTTGTAAGTTGATTTTGTATCCTGCCACCTTGCTGTAGTTGTTTATGGTATTTTGGAGTTTTTGGGTAGAGTTTTTCAGTGTTTAAGGTATAGGATCATATTGTCTGTAAATAAGGATATTTTGACAGTTTCTTTACCTATTTGTATTCCTTTTATTTCTTCTTCTTGCTTAATTGCTCTGGCTAGAAATTCCAGTACTGTGTTGAATAGGAGTGGGGATAGTGGGCACTCTTGTCTTGTTCCTGATTTTAGGGGGAATGGTTTCAGGTTTTTTCCATTAAGTATGATGTTGGCTGTAGGTTTGTCATAAATAGCCTTTACAATGTTGATGTACATTCCTTCTATTCCTAATTTTCTTAGAGCTTTTATCATGAAGTGGTATTGGATCTTGTCAAAGGCTTTTTCTGCATCTATTGAGATGATAAGTGGCTTTTGTCTTTGCTTCTATTGATGTGCTATATTACACTTACATATTTGCATATGTTGAACCATCCCTGCATCCTTGGGATAAAGTCAACATGGTTGTGGTGAATGATCTTTCTGATGTATTGTTGGATTCAGTTTGCCATTATTTTATTGAGGATTTTTGCATCGATATTCATTAAGGACAATGGCCTATAGTTCTCCTTTTTGGAGGTGTCTTTGTCTGGTTTTGGGATAAAAGTAATATTGGCTTCATAAAATGAGTTAGGCAGTGTTCCTTCCCTTTCTATTTCATGGAACAGTTTAAGGAGAGTTGATATTAGTTCTTCTTTAAATGTCTGATAGAATTCAGCAGTGAATCCATCAGGTTCTGGACTTTTCTTTTTTGGGAGGCTCTTGATGGGAGCTTCAATTTCTTTTTGTGTTATAGATCTATTCAGATGATTAATATCCTCTTGATAAACCACCCTTTTAAATGAACTTTTATTTGGTTATGACTCAGTCACCTTAGTAGTCAAAACACTGACAAAAATCACCAGAGAACACAGGTAAATATTTATGGGGATTAAGTATAGAGTTAGGAAACCTAATGGCCAAGAATCATGACTCAGATGTTGATAAGGGATCATATCCCAGATTGTTGACATTAACAGATGGCTCAAGGCATACAGCAGGATCCCACCAACCTGTAGTCAATGGAGCCCCCCTAAAATAACAGGCTCAGTCTGGCCATCCTAGGCCAAAAATTCCCTTCGCCCAACATGTGGAAGGAGTAGGACTAACATCTCCACTGTGTTGACTCCAATAAAAAGTGGAGGTCTTGACCTCCAGTGTAGTGGTCCTTTTTGAGTTTTTTTTTCTTTATCCTATCTGGAGGGTACCCTTTGGCCTTTCTTTTCTTTTTTCTTCTTCTTTTTATTTTTAACTTTGCTTTACGTAAGTAAATCTGTTTCAACCCTCATATCAGTGCAGTAGCACTCCTGGTGCTCAGCTGCCAATCGCCTCTCTGTGTTTTAATAAACTATTGTTGTCTTAATAAATTTTTGGATTAACCTGTAGCACCAAAAATTTCTGACAGTTATCTTGACGAAACAAAAATTTTTTAGGACAATTTTTTGTAAATGTTATCAAGAACAATATAATGTTTTTAAGACAGCCTTGTTGTTAAGAGTCTAGAGAATTAAGTTTTAGTTTAATAGTACATTAAAGTTTGAGCTTACAAAACCTTTAATGTAACTCTTAGATTTTAGTCAACTTAATCCCTTACTTAAACATTTATAAGCTCCATCTTTTTAAGGATATCTTATTCTATACTCTCTGTACTTTATGACAATTATTTCATATCCCCTGAGGGAGTATGTCTTTATCCTTTATTTTTTTAATTTAAAAGTATTTTTTAAACTTTTATTTTCAAAAACCATACCCTTAATACCTTTTATATATTTTTTGTTACTTGTTGAAAATAACTCATAAAACTGTTTAACTTATAGCCTTACATTTGCGTGAAAAAACAAGAAAGAAAGCAACCTTAAAATTATTTTTTGTATAAAAACTATTTATAGCAAGCCCATTTGTTAATAAACCCATATATTATAAGAGAGAATTAAATCCCAGATTTTATTTATGACAGAATGACAGTCTAAAGTCATTTTTTTTAACTATCCAAATTTTAAGATTCCTGTTGCAGGCTGTGGTCTTCCTTTTCTTTTTTGCTCCTATGGTCTGAGCCAGAGTGTTAATCCCTGAATGCCTGCATCCTATGAGACCTGATTGAAATAAATTTTAAAACTGGTTTTCTTAAAAGTAGCAGTAGAGCAGAGTAAAAGTAACAATTTTTACATTGACTGTATAAAAAGAACCATCCTCAAGATGTTTACGTATTCATATGTAAAAAACCTAAGCAGTTTATAACAGAGATCTTTAGCATAAGCACTCTGTTTTTTTGTTACCTTGACTATCACATTAACCTTATAACAGCAGTTTAAAAAACATTTTGAAGATGCTTACACACACACACACACAAACACACAAAAGCTTTATAAATAAAGCATGCAAGAAAAAAATGTCAATTTAAGCGAGCATAAGATGAGCTGAAATTACAGGAGCAAAGCAAATTTTGCCCAATGCTTTAAAAAAATTCACACACACACACACACACACACAAAATTAGAGTGCACTATCAAAAAACCCTTTTAAAATCATACCCAGAGGGCTATCTGGTGGAATGGTGGATGATACATCTGTTTTTTTTTGTGAGTCTCCCTCTTTGGAACTGAATTTTTGTTACCCATCCCTTTACCTCAGTTGAGGCTATTTCCCAGGAAAAGCTCAATCCCCCAGTACTGGAGGTTTCTTGTATTTTAGCCAAAGTGCTTTCTTTTTACTTGTGTTGTTCCCCATCCTGATCTATCTTGCTGGTGAGAAAACCCAGTATGTGTTCAACCTCCCTAATTCCTGGAGGTGCCTCACAAACTTTCACCCCACTCCCTAAATCTGAGAGACACAGTTTCTCTCCAGATAGGGTTACTCAGAGGTCTCTGGGAGGTGATCAGGCTCCCCTTCCACCTCCCAAAGGCAGGCCTATTATTTGAACCCGGGTTCTTACCAGTTTGACAGGTTGGGCTCCCAATTGGTTCCTAAGCCATCTCCGGGTTCCTCCATTGGTTTGCTGGCACCTGGCAGGACACTCTCCTGACAAGCCAGGGATGCTGAGTCCCAGCACCAAGGAGGTGAAAACACCTTCTCCAAATCCCAGATTGAACCCTCAGAAGTGTTGCTGGATATTCAAGCAGGAAAAGGGGGCACCAAGGCTTTTCAGGAAGCAATATTTATTAGTGAGCTGGCAGCAGCTCAGCAATTCATATCTAAAGTCTGAGCCCTGAGAACAAAGGGGTCTCACCTTAGATATCATTCTAGACAGGTTACAGAAGCAAGAAACAAAATTTAATCCATGGTTGTTATATACAATTGTGTTGGCTACTTTACCCTCAGTGCTATGTGACCCTTTTCATGTTCAGCTTCTTTAAGTTTCCTGCCATGCCACCCCCCCTCCATACTATAAAGTAGTATAAACACCTTCTCTTTGAATCTCCAAAATTAAATTCAGAAAATGTATGTCATTAATAATTTGAATTCTTTCTGTATGCTGGGAAATATGTAATCCCCTTTTCTTAATAATTTCATTGCTATCAGGTAGCTAATATTACCAAGGGAATATGTACAACTCTATTAGGACAGATTTGAAATGAAGTTGGGGTCAGAATACAGAGTGATGCTCTTAGATAACACTACAGGAGGTCCCTGTGATAACTTCTTTATTATCTGATGCAGAGTTCAAAGCCTGCACCTGCATGTTTAGCCAGAATACAGTGATAGAATTTTAAGTAGCAATTCTTTCCTGTCATGACGGTGACAATTTTACTCTCACTCCTCAGGAGTGGCTTGATGAAGAGTTGTGAGATATGAGGGTTAAAATAGAATGAAAGTTTGAAGAAAATAATACATATAGAATTCAATTTATCAAAATTCAGCATGTATATAAACTCAAAAATGATACCTGTTGAAACTACTCCAGGAATTGGGAGGAGGGGATAAAGGAGAATAGTAGAGGGGGTGAGTTGATGTATGATATATTTGATACATTGTAAGAACCTGTGTAAATTCCACAATGTACCCCCACCCAGCACAACAATAAGGAAAACAGTACATAAAAAATTTGGCATGGAAATAAAAGCATAGTAAGATAATTTAAAAACTTAGAGGCTACATAGGTACAGACACTTAGATTATAAAAGATTTTTTGGAATAATCAGGTAGCTGAAGCTTAGATATACATGTATATGTAAATAAATCATTCACGTTAACATAGATGTAAGTATCACTATAACACATTACATTAACTATAGGTATAACTGTATGTACATTTTTAAAGAATCCAAACTCATAGCAGGCTGCTAGCCATGCTAGTCATAAAACAAAATGAAAAGGTTATAAATTTAGCAATAATGTAAATTATTTTAAAATTTTATTCACATAAAACAATGAGCAACATCAATGAGTGAGTTTGTCTGCTAGAGTGTGATTTTTAAAAAGAGGTTTGTGTAAGTATTGCTAGGTATCGATTAATCAAGGTAGGACTGAGAAGAAAATGGCTGAGACTTAATATTATGGTATCTGTTTTATTTCCTATTTTCAAACAGTTTATTAGTTCAGGATCCTTGTCTGTTGCAGCAGGAAGAAAACCCACAAGAATGCTGGTAAGTGGCAGTTCTTCCCCTTTTTCTATGACCAGAGGAGTAGAAATAAATTCTACACTAACAGTAGGAGAACAGAGATCAGTGAGGCTCACTTAATGCCCAAAAGAGTTAATTTTTTCTTAAAGCATTCAGATGGTAGATCATGAGAAAGTCATATAGATTGTGAACATGAATACCTGGGTGGCTAGTCTGAATAGTTGGTGAATATGAAACTTGAGAAAAGGCTTCTTGATTTTTTTGTGTTGTTAGGTTTACCTATTCTATTTTATGTAGGATCTTCTACCCTTAGTTTCACAAGTGAAAGTGAGAAATTCTGTTCCTTCTGTCATCCATTAAATAACTACCAAGTCTCTATTAAACAAGTACTAAGTCTAGTTGACTATGGAGTCATCTAGCTATTTATACTTCACTCTCTTAGCCCATTCATTCTTTTCCCCTCCTTCCTACATGGCTATTTCACCATTATGTTCTATCTTTAAACACCAATCCACGTTCTCTCACCCTTATTCTCTGTTGATGGCTTTGCTTCCTATTTTAAGAAAACTAAAGCCATCAGGAGAGAATTTTCAGACTTCCACTCCAACATCTACTCCATGGACTAGATCTGTACTAAGATATTTTTCAGTCTAGCCTCTAATCATAGGTGAATTCTGTGATTTTCTTTAAAGTGGACCCTTCTGAGAATTCCTCTTCCCTCCATGATATACAAATGTGTCAGTACAATTTGTCCCTCTCTACTTATGTGATCTTTCTCTAATTAACACATAAGCATTCAGTTACTGTTTTCAACTTAAAATGCATATGTGTATGTGTGTGTGTATGAGAGAGAGATGAGAGAGGAGAGGGGATGAAGGGAAGAGGGAGAGTGGGAGGGAGAAAGGAGAGACAAGGAGATAGAGGGAGAGAGACAGAGACTGTGGGATTATTTTTTCCCTTGCTAGTTAAAGGCACAATTTATTTTTCCTTTTGTAGCTAAATTTCTTTAAAAGAGTTCCATACACTCTGTCTCCATTTCTTATCTATCAGTTTAAACCCACCTGCATAAGTTTTAATTTTCACACTTCTATAACTGCCCTATTTAAGACCATTGAAAACTTCTAGTTCTTTGCCACCTGCTTTTCTTTGTTTGTACTCACTCCTTTCATGATCTCACCCATTCTCCTGGCTTCAGATAACATCTCTAGGCCCACAGCCTGAAGCACATTCACCAGCCTAGATCTTTCTCCTGATCATCAGATTGGCACCTCAATTTGCTTCCACTAAGATGCCTGAAAGGCTCCAAACTCAACTCTTGTTCTTCCTCCTCAAACCTTCTCTATGCAGTCTTCCTCATGTCAGCTGATGGAAATACTGTCTTTCCAGATTCCTAGATGAATAACCTGAGAATATCCCTGACTCTTCTTTCAAAATCTTGAGCAAGTTCTATTGGCTCCCCCTTCAGGCAATCTTCGGGTTTGACCCTGTCTCATCCTGTCTCATCCTGTCTCCTCACTGGGCTGACTGCTTCCATTTTTGAACCTTTCTTCTCTATTCTCAACCAAGATAGAGTGACCCTTTAAACTATTAATCTATCACCTTTTTTCCCCTCTAAACCCTCCAGTGTTTTTTTTTTTTCTCAGAATTTGAACCAAAGGTAATTTTATTATCTACAGGGCTTTACACAATGTGGCTATCTGTTAATTTTCTGTGTCTATTTCCTAATCTTGTCTGCTTACCTTTTGCTTCTTGGGAACACTGTAGTCTGAGGGCTTTAAAATGAATGCTTCTTTGATTTCAGGGACATTCTCCCAGACCTCCTCTTGACCATCTCAGAAAACACTCAGTACTTTATTCCTCTCCCCATGTGTCATTTCTATTTAATGTCACAAACCACCATCTTTTCTCTGGCTCTGAATTTCCTTTGTATCATTCTATAAGCCCGCAGTACTTAATTATTTTTGAAATACCATGTAATTTAGCTAGTATGTTTATGACTTTATCTTTATTGCTTGAATGTAAGCCCCATGGGTAGTGGGGACATTCTAGTTTTCCCTGTATCTAGAACATTTTTGGTTGTGTAAACAGCATTCTATAAATATTTGTTCAAATGGATTGTTGCCAAGGGAATGGATAAAGGATGTGCCCCATACATTAATAACAATTCTTCTTTTTTAGATGCAGAACAGTTTTGGGATGAACATCGCCAGTACTACAATTGCACTAGTTGGGACTGTTTTTCTCTTAATACATTTGGTACTTAATAACCAGTTGTTTAAGGATTGTCAGTCTTTGCAGTCACCAGACTTGTGCATCTACATGGGTTCCTCATCATATGTATGTTTTTTAAAAAATATATTTAACTATAAAATATTTCAAGTAATTAAAAATGTACAGAAAAATAATATATTATGCTACCTTGATTTGAACCTCAATACTGCTGCCTATGAACTCTGTAATGAAGAGAAAATTTGATTTTATTTTAGTTTTATCATCTTTGATAACTTAGTTTTTAGTTTTAGTTTTCTCACTTTTGAGATGAAGAAAAGAATAGTACCCATCTTACAGAGTTGGTGTAAGAATTAAATAAGTTAATATTTGATAAGTAATAAAGACTGGTAATTGCATCATGTTGTATTATTGCCAGCATTACTACTGCTACTACAAGTACACTCTCCAGAGAGATTAATTTTTTAAAATTAGAATATATTAATTATAGAGTGGGATTCATCGTGACAATCCTGAATAGGCTTACCCTATACATTGATTAGATGGTCCCCCACCTCCTTCTGCCCCACTTAAATTGCAAGAGGTTTTATTACTCTATTTTATATAAGTATATAAAGTCCATCAACCATATTCCTTCATCTTCATCTTCATTCACCCTCCTTCTCTCACATGTACACCCCCACTCTATACTGATTTTACAGTCCTGTCTTTCATTATTAATTCCTAAGTCAATGTTCAAAGGGGTTTAAGAGAGATTAAATTAAAAAAAAACATTTATCTTGTATGTCTTTGAAAAACTTTGGAGATTCATAACTTATTCTGCAGCTTGGAATGTTCAAACAAGGACTTGAAGTTTCAAATGACTTCACTTTTGAGTTAATTTGAATATGGTATTTTGAAAGTGAAGCTCTTCCCATATCAATAGCCTTCTCATATGTTTTCAACTGTGTTTAGTGTTTTACCTCTTCTGAGGTCAGTGTAGAAATTAATCTTTTTTTGAGGTACTGAGGACTGAACCAGGGTCTCGTACATGCTAGGCAAGTGCTCTACCACTTAAGCCATGATCCAGACCTAGAAATTAATGTTTTCCTTCTAGTTTGTTAACTATACCATAATGATCCATACTCTATGAACCTATGCATTCCAAATCCTCCTGTTTTCTGACATTCTCATGGGAGGTAGTGTCTTTATTTTCTTCATTACATTTTTATTTACCTGAGTTCATATTTATTGGAGTCTTTTTTTTTTTTGGTGGATTTAGTGGTATTTTCCTGTCAGAGAAACTTTGTATTTGTTCTAGGTGCCTTGGTGATAATAGAAGTGTCACTAGTGCAGTGATAGTTTTAGTCTGTGTTTATAACAGCTTTGTTTGTTAGTTTCTAGGGATAAGAAATACTATTTTCAAAGTGGTAAAGGGTCATTTTTGTCCATTTTACTAAATTCTCTACTCATCTCCTTAGTTTACTGCTATTCAAATTGATAAATATTAGTGATGGTGTCAGAATTTTGCATCTACAATTTGTTCCCCCTTTTACTAGTTCATATGGGTTGATATAGATATAACACATACCTCTCTTTTCAGAGAAAATGTTTTCATGCTGTTAGCATGAGATTGGATTTCAGAGTTTGTGTTTCTGCATCTTTTTTTTTTTTTTGGGTGGGACTGAGGTTTGAACTCAAGGCTTCATGCTTGCTAGGCTCTACCACTTGAGCTACTCCACGAGTTCACGTGTCTATGTCTTCAATCTAATTTATGGTTCACTTTATTCCATTCTGTGGGAGGGAGAGTTTGTGGAATGGTTTCCTGTTGGCACCTTTATCCTCTGGATGTTTCCTCTGGGTGTGATATGAGGCACGTGTCTTCTAGGGCCTGGTGTCTCTGATGCTGATCCTGACTTTGCTGGAATTGGGCGTAACTGTCTCTATCGAAACCCTGTGGTGTCAGAGAAACTTCTGTGCTTCAAGAGAGGTGAGTTTGTCTAAATGACTACTAAGTCACATGGTCTTCAAACTTTTTCTCTAGTGTTTGAAATTATTTCTGACTCTTGAAATTAGAAAAGAACTTTTATGTGGTAATAATTTGCACAATTTCTGGAATTAGAGATTGTATCAATGTACAAGATGGAATGAAGCCTGCAAAAAAATTCAAATTTGAAAATGGAAAATGAAATAGTGTATTTAAGGTGTAAAAGTATACATTTTTAAACACAGTTGAAATTAATTTTAATTATTTTCTCAAAACTTGTCACTTTGTTGCTGTATGATCCAGGATAATCACACATTCTTGCTAGACTTTAGGTATCCTAGCTCTAGACTAAAAATAATGGATTCATTTTCTACTGATGTTTGTTGAGGGCTGTGCACAGTGTTCGTCACAGTAATAATCAACAAATAAACATTATTGGTGATGATTACAGAAGTAATGGAAAGGGGATGGCAGGGGAGGGAGATAACGATCTTGTTCTTGGAGATTGATGTGATTTTATTTTCTAGGCAATTGCTTCACCTCCCAATTATGTGGAGTCAGGAATACCTTCTGATGAAAGTGATTCTGAGAGTATGAATACTCAGCTTCAAATCTCCAAAGAGTCAGGACTTTATCCAAGTATTTAAGAAAACATGAGCTGATGAAATGCAATCCTTCTCTCATGGTCCCAATCATGAGAAACTTGTCCTTTAAATCAGTTCTTTCTGCTCTAATTGTAAATCCCATTAGTGTTTACTGGATGTGGATGAATAAATATATTTCCTTAGACATTCTTGGATTTCTGTCTTCCTTGATCACAACTGCAAAGTTGTTCCTAGAAATTGATTCTCTCTCTTCTTTCTCTCTTAACTCTTGATTTTAGCTAACATCAGTATTACAAAAAGTATCAGATAAAAAACATCATCATTAAGATAAATTTTCACCATATTTGAGGCTTAACATCAAATATTTTATTTCTGCCAGCTTCTGGAATTCACATCTTCCCAGACACAAATGATGGTTTAGATCAGTGACTTTGGGAACAAGGCTAATCTTTGTCCTTCAAAGGACCATGAGAAACTGTAAACAGAGAACTAAAGAACCAGGGCTTTAGAATCTGACATATCTGGGTTCAAATTCTGATTCTGTTACTTGTTATCTTTCTGAACTTGGGCAAGTTATTTAATCTTTCTGACCAATTTCCTTTCAAGTGTAAAAGACATATAGCATCAACTATACTTTCACTGTTAGGAGGTTTACATGAACATAAAGCAAATGTGAAATAACACTAGCAGTACTTGGTGGAGATGTTGCTGTCTTGGTCTTGCTGCTGCCATTGGAACTGAGATGGGATTTGGGCAGATGTGCTGAAGAGGTATGGAAGACACTCTCACACCTCCACTGTGGTTCCTCCTAACCGCTCCTACAACCTCCATGGCCATCTATATAAGGTAGCAAATTAGTGCTGATAAATCTCAGTCCCTGATTTATAAACCCACTACTAAAATGCTTATATTTCCAATTTATAAATTAATTTTCTGTCTCAATACCAAATTGAATCTACAATGTCCATAAGTTTAATCCTATAAATTACTCTTAGCTCCTTGTTAATCATATGAGCAATGATCCTCCTATATGCTACTAATTCTTTCCCACGTACTTCTATAATGTTTATTTATTTATTTATTGTTTTGCTGGGTGTGGGGCTGTGGCATTTACAAAAGTTCTTATATCAAATTCATACTTGAATTCACCCCTCTACCTTCTCCTTTATTCCCCCTACTCCGCTCATTCTTGAAACAGTTTCAACAGGTATCATTTTTCCATTTACATACATGTGTACACAGTATTTGTACTATATTCACCTTCCCATGTCCTTTCCCCACCTCTTCCTCCTTCCCACTGGTATCAACTTACCCCGCCCCAAGGCAGGAACTTTTCTGCCCTCCTGTTCTCTGATTTTGTAAAAGAAAAAAAAATGATATTTTGTTTAAGATAGCTATACAGGGAGTTTCCTTGTGACATTTCCATGTATATATGTATTATAACAAAAATTGGTTCATCGCCTCTATTTTTCTTCTTTTTTACCTTAATCCCTTTCTTATGGTGCTTCAACAGGTTTAAAAATTCTATATTCATTCTTATACAGAGTGTATATAACCATATTCTTACCTTCCTTCTTTTACCCTCCCCCTCTTATATATTTCTTTGAAGGTGTCTGCTAATAAACTGATCAAAACATATTAACAACCTGAAGGGGACACTGATTGTCATATGAGTATTCATTGTATTCCAGATTGATGACAACCTTCAGATTTTGGTGCAGTTAATCTCACTTTGAGCTTCAGGAAGTATACCCTGTAAAGTCACCAACAATGAGGACAATTCCCTTCATGATTGTATTGGTCCATAGCATTTCCCTGGGTGAGGGCTCAGATCCTTTGTGGACCTTGGTCATTAAGCTGTAGGCTAACATGATCATCATCCAAAATAGAAACAGTACAGCAAATGTCTTTATACCTTGCCTGTGATTCTGTCTTATAATTCTCTGCCCACAAGTAGATGTTCTTGGGTTGAAGAGAACAAGTATATTATGTGACGTTATTTTCCTTGTGAAATGCTTCATTTTGGAAGACAGAAGAAGTATGAACAGAAAAGAATTAGCATTAAGTGGTCCATGGGCTGCAATAGGAAATAAACTCCAATACAGAGAGAATTCAAGGCTGGTGGGATGGGGTGGCTGAAGCTTGTAATCACACCCACTTGAGAGGCAGAGATCAAGAGAATCATGGTTTGAGGGTATCCTGGGAAAAATGTCAGTGAGACCCCATCTCAATCAATAAACTGGACTTGGTAATGCACATCTGTCATTCAAACTATGTGGGAAGCATAAAAAAAGGAGGATCTCTGTCCAGTCTGGCCCTGGCAAAAACATGAGATCCTATCCCCAAAATAACTAAAGCAAAAAGGGCTGTGGGTGTGGCTCAAATGGTAGAGGACCTCCTTAGTAATCATAAGGCCCTAAGTTCAAACCCTAGTACTGAAGGATGGACTGCAGGAGGTCCCAAAAGGTGATAATAAGCCAGGGAGACACTTCTCCTTCCCAGGAAACATCTGTTTACACCAGAGAGACATCTCTGCCCTCAGGCAATTTTTTAAAAAGGTTATAAAACCCTTAGCCAAGGCCAGAAAGCCAAAAATTGTATGTTCTCCCTCATATGCAGACTTTAGAGCTAAAACAAATGTAGTAATATTATTAGACGTGGGTCACATGCTAAGGGGAAGACACATACAGGAGGAATAGGGAAAGGTAGGAAACCAAAACTTGAAAGTGTTTGATGTCCCACTGAAGAGGAGCTAATATAGCAACCTTAAAATGACAGATCAATATGGGAAGGTGAGTGGGAAGTAGTGAAGAGATCAGGTAGAGATGACTCAATTCAGGTTGCAATATATATGTGCATGGAAGAAGCTATGCTAGGAATCTCTCTGTATAGCTATCCATATCTCAAACTAGCAAAAACACTGTCTTATTATTGCTTATGTCTTTTCTTCAACAAAATTGGAGAAGAGGGCAGAACAGGTTCTGCCTGGAAGCAAAGGGGGTGGAGAGGAGAAGGAGGGGGCAAGGGGCAGGGGTGAGAAATGGCCCAAACAATGTATGCACATATAAATAAATGAATAAAAAATACTTTGTAAAAACAAAAAAACAAACAAACAAAAACAAAAACATACACACACACAAAATTTGCAACCTGACTTGTGGAACCACTGGTTTCCTGGTCCCACTGCATTCCCCCATGCAGCCTTTCTCTTCTCTTCTCTTCTCTACAAATAAAATCTTTCTGAACTCTACTGCTGGACTCTACCTCTGCTTTCAATCCCAGAGCAGACCAAGAGCCCTCAACACCTGAAAATTTCTGCATGTCATCTGTGTATCAGTACCACAAAAAAAGGAGATTTTTAGTGCCAGGATAGTATGTCTTAATCATGCTATTTGTATTCTAGAAAACTAGGAATAGAAGGAATGTACCTCAACATTGTAAAGGCTATAAATGACAAACCTACAGCCAACATCATACTTAACAGTGAAAAACTGAAGCCATTTCCCCTAAAATCAGGAATGAGACAAGGGTATCCACTATCCCCACTCCTATTCAACATAGTACTGGAATTCCTAGCCAGAGCATTAGGCAAGAAGAAGAAATAAAAGGAATACGAATAGGTAAAGAAACTGTCAAAATATCCTTATTTGCAGACAATATAATCCTATATGTTAAAAACTGAAAAAACTCTACCCAAAAACTCCTAGACACCATAAACAGATACAGCAAGGTGGCAGGAGACAAAATCAACTTACAAAAATCATTAGGTTTTCTATACACCAACAACGAACAAACTGAGAAGGAAAATATGGAAACAATTCCATTCACCATAGCCTAAAAAAAAAAATCAAATATCTAGGAGTAAATTTAACAAAGGATATGAATGGCCTCTACAAGGAGAACTACAAACCCCTGAAGAAAGAGATCAAGAAAGACTTCAGAAGATTGAAAATCTCCCATGTTCACGGATTGGTAGAATCAACATAGTAAAAATGGCTATACTACCAAAAGCAATCTGCATGCTTAATGCAATTCCCATCAAAATCCCAATGACATTCATCACAGAGATTGAAAAATCTACCCTGAAGTTCATTTGGAAACACAAGAGACTGCGAATAGCCAAGGCAATACTCAGCAATAAGAGCAATGCTGGAGGTATCACAATACCCGACTTCAAACTATATTACAAAGCAATAGCAATAAAAACAGCATGGTACTGGCACAAAAACAGACACGAAGACCAGTGGAACAGAATAGAGGACCGGGATATGAATCCACACAGCTATGCCCACCTTCTTTTTGACAAAAGTACCAAGAACATACCATGGAGAAAAGACAGCCTCTTCAACAAATGTTGCTGGGAAAAGTGGTTATCTGCCTGCAAAAAACTGAAAGTAGATCCATGTTTATCACCCTGTACTAGTACCAACTCAAAATGGATCAAGGACCTTAATATCACACCCGAAACTCTGAAGTTAGTACAGGAAAGAGCAGGGAATACTCTGGAAGCAATAGGTGGCAAGGACTTCCTCAATAGAACCCCAGCAGCTCAGCAACTAAGAGAAAGGGTGGACAAATGGGACTACATAAAATTAAAAAGATTCTGCACAACAAAAAAAATGGTCTCTAAACTGAAGAGACCACCCACAGAGTGGGAGAAAATATTTGCCAGCTACACATCAGGCAAAGGACTGATAACTAGAATATACAGGGAGCTCAAAAAAAACTAAACTCTCCCAAAATCAATGAACCAATAAATAAATGGGCAACTGAGCTAAACAGAACTTTTTCAAAAGAAGAAATTCAAATAGCCAAAAAACACATGAAAAAATGCTCACCATCTCTAGCGATAAAGGAAATGCAAATCAAAACCACACTAAGATTTCACCTCACCCCTGTTCGAATAGCTATCATCAAAAACACCACCAACAACAGGTGTTGGAGAGGATGTGGAGAAAAAGGAACCCTTGTACACTGCTGGTGAGAATGCAAGCTAGTGTAACCACTCTGGAAAACAATATGGAGGCTTCTTAAAAAATTAAACAGATCTGCCATATGATCCAGTAAACCCACTCCTGGGGATATACCCAAAGGAATGAGACTCAGGATACTCCAGAGGCACCTGCACACCCACGTTTATTGCAGGGCTATTCACAGTAGCCAAGTTATGAAAACAGCCAAGATGCCCTACTACTGATGAATGGATTAAGAAAATGTGTTATTTATACACAATGGAATTTTACTCAGCCATGAAGAAGAATGAAATCGTATCATTCTCAAGTAAATGGATGGAACTATAGAGCATCATCTTGAGCGAGGTTAGCCAGGCTCAGAAAACTAAAAGTCATATGTTCTCTCTCATATGTGGACTTTAGATCTAGGGCAATTGCAGTAATGTTGTTGGACTTGGGTCACACATTAAGGGGAGAGCACATATGGGAGGAATGGGGATAGGTAGGAAACCCAAAACTTGAAAGTTTTTGATGTCCCCACTGCAGAGGAGCTAATACAGTAACCTTAAAACAACAGAGGTCTATATGGGAAGGTGACCGGGAAGTAGTGAAGAGGTCTGGTAGAGATGAATCAATTCGGGTTGTAATACACTTATACATGGAAGCAATGCTAGGAATCTCTCTGTATAGCTATCCTTATCTCAAGTAGCAAAACCACTTTGTCTTTCTTATTATTACTTATATCTTCTCATCAACAAAATTGGAGAAAAGGGCAGAACAGGTTCTGTCTGGAAGCAAGGGGAGTGGGGCAGGGAGAAGGAGAGGGTGGGGAACAGGGGGGAGAAATGGCCCAAACAATGTATGCACATATGAATAAATGAATAAAGAAAAAAATTATCACTATGAATTCCCCTCTGTATAATAAATATGTTCTAAACAATTATATAAAAAGGAAAATACCCCCTAAAAGCCTAACTTGCATAATTTTTAATATACAATTCAGGCATATTTATATGCAAACTGAGCATTTAGTTTCAGAAGGTAATTGTTTATGTGGGATATGAATGCAAATTTCTTTTGAGTTTAGGGAGATGAATCAAGCAAATAACTAACTTAGTAAAGAAACTTGGCTTGTCAAAAGAGGAAGCCAGAGATAAAGAGTGAGTGAAAATCATGTGCAAATTCTGTGTGTGCCAGAGGAGAGAAGATACGTGTATGGTGGTGGTCTGTTATCTCTTCCTTCCCGGCAGAGGTATGGTTAAAACTCATCTTGATTATTTTGCTCCACCAAAAAGAAAGGCAAAAGGACATAGCTGTAGGAAACCAAGGTTATCACAGAAGGTGATAAGAATCTTAGAAAAGAACAAGATGAAGGTGGTGAAAACTAGGCTATGAAATAATTTGGAAAACGTTAAGTTTTCTCTCAGTTTATGATTTGCATTTTGCATTTTGCAAGGTGTTGAAAATTTCCACAAAATAGCATGTGCCCAAACACCAAAGACCATCCTCAGTTTGTTTCCTGTCCAAAACTCAAATCTGAACCCTGATTATTTGCTGCGTACACTGAACTATTTTATACTCCTGGAAAACATCACACAAGAGGCATTACATTACTTCAGGACTTTCCCCAGAAGATGTGGGCAATTTCACTGAGGTTATGCAAATGAATGAAATTTCTGAGACTATCATTTTAAGTTTGGGATCAAATTCTACATTCTCAGTGAATTCCATCCCTTAACTCTCCATATCCCTTATGAGGCAGAACTGTAATACCTTTCTTTGCATTCCAACAGCTACTAACCTCTAACATACTAGGTAATATTGTGTTGTTTATCTTTGTTTTACTCTAGGAGATTGTGTGCTAGATGCCTGCTCAGTGATAAAAGCATATCTGGCATGTAGCATGGTACCTTTTGGATGAAAGTATAAGTGAATCATTTAATTTCTTAACACAAATAGTATACTAGTTTGGTATACCAATTCCAAGACACAGTGAAAAATGGTATATGAGTTAGCAAAATTTTGCTATGAAAGATGTGCCACTATGTCCTTTAGAATCCTGTGTTCATGCAAATAAATACCTTAACTTCCTTTGAGAAGTGTTATCACATCCCAGGAAAACAACACAGGTGATTAGGATACAACGTGTAGTACTTTTGGTTTATTGAAGATCCATTCAAGGTTATGTTGGGTCTGGAGACCTAAGGTAGATGAGTGAGTATCCCAGCCCCCCATGGAGAGCACTATGATTCCTGCATCCTGAGCAGTTGTAAATCTGCCTTTCTGCGCCCTGAAGAGGATATACAGGTTCTGATAGATCTGCCACAGGGCTGCTCTGAAGATTGTTTCGCTCCCCCAGTAAGGGGCAAAACAAAACCAGTTCACCTAAGAAAGCCTGCAAATCCACAGCCAATGAAAAGAGCCTACCAAACCCAGAGTTAAAAGGTCCATAAAAGCTCCAGCCTTCACCTGAGCAGGGAGCTACCAATTTCCTGGCTCCACTGCACTACTGTAGCCTTTCCTTTCTCTCTAATAAATCCTACTTCATATACCAGCTTTGGCTCATCTATCAGCTGCCTCAAGAGCCAGTTCTCTGGCCTGTGAAGGCAAGGACCCTCGACACCAGCATGCAACACTTCAAACCTGCATGTAAGAGTTATGTCTATAATTAAATGGAAATATAAGCAACACAGACCTTCTGTGAATCCCCCATCACTCATTTTGCTCTGGCATAGCTATTCTATTCAAACGAGCACATTGGTTTGGCTAGTACCTCCTCCCCCAATTTAGGCAAATTGCTGAGTCCTGTACTGTTCAGATTTGTTCATAGAACTTTTTAAAAAATCAGCTTCATGCTTATATTGTCCCATTTTGACCATTACAAAGATCTAAGCAGCAGAGTCACTCTAGTTTTTAGCAGACAATGGAAACTTCAGTGTGAAAACTTCTCAACTTTCACACACTTAGAAATTTACCTGTCTTGTCTTCGCAACCACCTGCTAAAGAAAGTCACATAAACAGTGTCCCAAGACAGGAAGAGAAAGACAATAGGTAGTGAAACAAGAAGCAGGTTCAGAGACTGACATTCACGAGCACAAATAGTGCTTGAGTGTGATTCCAAGTGTGCCTCAAACAGGGAAGCCAAGCTTTCCAAAAGTGAGATTGGAGAATTTATGCATAGAAATAGCTGAACTGGGAAACAAGAAGGGACAACTCCAGAAGAGAATAACATTTCTTTCTGTTCTGCAGCTCTCTTTTGTCTTCTCAACTCCCAAAGATGTTTCCTTTTTAGGCACCAAAAATCCTGTGGGTCTTGGGCAGAATTATACTCTAGAAGTCTCAAATTTCCTCATTTTATACCACTCCTTATTCAGTAGAGTTCTCACTTTTTCTATTCATTCTAGCAAGAAAAAAAATCTATCATTCTTAATCAGCTGGCAAACTTATCAGACAAATGGCTTATGGAGATAATTATCAGTGTTACGAGTCAAAGCCATTTTAACTTCTAATGAGAGCTCAACTGTGACAGGAAGTCCAATAAGTCTTAATACAATATTCTTCATTCCTGAATAGCCTAATTCATGAAAAAATGGACACGGAAAACCAGAGCAGATCATCACTCACTCTCCCAAACCCAGAAGAGCCCTCCAGGTAAGCACAGACTATCATTTTTTCTTTTCTGTTCTGCATCATTTTTCACATCGGGGAAGTCACATTGCTGGGCAGATAGATGCCAGTTCACATATTTCTGCATGGACTCATCTAAATTGGTTAACATATTGGGTCTAAGGAAGCTAGCTGCTATGCTTTCATAGGCAATCTCACTCCTGGGAAGGAAGATTTTCACTCACCTTGTGTACTGGGAATAAAAGGTTTTCTAACACTAGAGGTTTGTGTTTGGGGTGTGAGACAAGAGATTTTGTATAACTCATACAGATCTCTTGCCTCTGTATTTGACATGAGTTGGGCATCAGAAGCCTTGCTAAATGACCTCCTTTCTGCTTGGTCTTTCTGAAGTTTAAGCTGTGGGATCCTGTTCTGAAGATGAAAATAGTTATAGAGGGCCACCCATCAAACCCACTCCTTCATGGTCCTCTGTGCTCATCAAGTTGTATGTGTCATTGAGAAAATATATCAGGCACATTTTTATGTTAAAAGGACTGTGAAATCCATAGGCAAACATATCTGGTTTTGATTTCACTTATCAACATACAAGGATGGGAAATAACTGATGGTAATCATGGATTAAGAATGAGTATTGGTGTGTTTATTGCTCTGTTTTATTCCACCTAATCACTTAGAGAATGTTCAAGTTTTCTTGGCCAATTATTTGGACCCTCTAAGCCTTGGTTTCTCAGTCATTAAATGAAGATTTCAATTGTAGGACTATTTTTTAAAAATAAACAAATAAAACTCCCCTTTCTGACAGTCAACAACTTTGCACAGGGAGTAAAAGAATTTCCTAATGACTGGAATTCCGGTAAATTTCAGTGTGCCTGAAATTGAACCCTCAGAAGTGTCTTTCCGTGGAAAACCTCTGCCAGAGAGGCCCACCTCATCCCCACGACCACAGACATGGCTGACGTTTTTGAAGAAAGAGCTGCAGTTCCTGGGGGTGAGTGTATCTCTTCTAGCCTGAACTAGAGTAAGGGATGGCTCTAGGAAAAGTATTGGTTATATCAACAGTTACTTTTCTTGGGTTCATGAGGAGTGAAAGATTCTCTAAAATTCCTGATAGATGAATTCCTGATATTAGTTGAGCCCTTTTGGGAAAACATAAGCATGTTCTTGTGAACACTTTAAATTACTGGTATACAAATGGCAGACAGGAATAAAGGCTTCATAATCTCTGCCTTTACTTATATTGACAGAACCATTACTGATGTCTACCATAACTACGTAAGTGAAGGTGTATGAGATGTGTATTGGCCATTATGCAATAGGTCATGCTTGTATCAATTCAGTTCTTGTAGTGGCCAGGGGATTACTATAAAATCTCACATTAGAATTACTTCTCAGGACAGTCTGAAACACAAAAGCAATTTCTCATATTGCTTTCATTTATAAGGCAATTGATATACTCTTAGAAAAATATGTTCTAACTCAAAAAATTCATGTATCCTGTACCATAGGTAACCCAGATTTTCATTGGTCTGATATGCCTTTGTTTTGGAACAATTGTCTGCTCTGTACTTGATATTTCAGACTTTGAGGAAGAGATATTTTCGTCATTTACAGCAGGCTACCCATTCTGGGGAGCATTATCGGTGAGTATGTTCTATAATTGTTTCTGATATAACGCTAAACATAGATTTTCTTTTAGCTTTGGCAGTGCTGAAGTTTGAACTTAGGGCTTCATGCACTCTACTGCTTGAGTCACAACTCCACCTCTTTTTGCTCTAGTTATTTTAGAGATAGAATCTTGCTTTCTGTCCAGGCTAGTCTGGACCATGATACTCCTATTTTATGCTTTCTGCCACTGCTGGGATGACAGGCATGCACCAACATTCCCAGCTTTTGTTTTCCATTGAGATGGGGTCTTACAAACTGTTTTTGCCCAGGCTGGTCTGGGACTACAATCCTTTTGATCTCAGCCTCCCAAGTAGCTAGGATTAAAGGTGTGAGTTCAGCTGATTATAGATTTTTCTTTTGTTTCAGTGTAACCGAATTACTTATCTCCAGTATTAAGTCATATTTACAATTCTTTAAAAAATGTATAATGTGTACATGTGTGCAGTTTACAAAGCACTTTTTCATATATGTGCTAATTAACAACAAAAAAGTTTTTCCATACTTAATAACTGTGGGCAAAAATTTAGCATACTTTTTTCAGATGAGAAAAATGTTAGACTTGCCTAAGAAAGTTTAAGCTAGTAGAAATTGAACCTGAATTTCCAGAATCTGATGCAAGAAAATATACTAACAATATTCATCAATAAAATTGCACAACAAATACACACTATTTTATCTGTCAACTAAAAATAATTTAAAATTCTTTCTTTATGAACGGATGGGAAAAATATTGCTAAGGTGAGGATAACAAAGCTAGCAGGCATTTGATGAAGTTTTACTATGCCGTAAATCCACTTTTGTATGTTCTCATTGGATTCCTTTCTCATTGGATTTGGTGTACTGTCTGGAAAATAGATTGTTGAATGAGAAAACAAGGACATATAACTTTATTGAGGTATAACTGACATATGATGAATTGCACATATGAAAGATGAGTAATTGGAAAAGTTTTATTCATATATATGCACACATAAAATGTCACCACATATGCTCCCCCAAATTTGATGAGTGTGTCTAGAATCCTCAAAAGTTTCCTGTGCTTCTCTGGAAGCCCTTCCTGCCTCCCTCCAGTTCCTGTCTCCTCATCCTGAAGCAATTGTTGTTCTCCTTTCTGTAAATGTAAATGAATTTGAATGTAAATGAATTCTCTTGAGCTTTATATAAATGGACATATCACTGTCTGTTTTCCTTCATTCTGCATAATTACTATGCAATACCTATGTTGCTTTGTATCAATATTTTATTCGTAAGGATAGATTTTAACCATAAAATGCCACGTTGACTTGCCACTCTGCTAAATACCAAAGCTAATACTAAGACAACTTGTTCCGGAATCTCCTCAAACCTCTACCATATTTTATTTGAAATCTCTTCTCTGTCTTTTCATCCCAAATATTTACCTTGTTAAGTATCTCTTAACCCATATACCATCTGAATCTTTCAGAGATTGCTTGAATTTGTGCTACTGATTTATAATCCTCTAAATTTTTACTCACGTACATTTTCTTTCTTTCTTTTATTGTACCGGGGGGGGGGGTACATTGTGACATCTACAGAGTTCTTACAACATATCATAGTTGAGTTCACCCCCCCATCATTCTCCTTTCTCTCCCCTCACCCCATTCCTGGAAGAGTTTCAACAGATTTTTTTTTCCATTCACATACATGAGTACATCATATTTCCACCATATTCACCCTCCTATTCCCTTTCCTTATCTCCTTCCCCCACCCACTGGTGCCAACCCCCAGATAGGACCTGTTTTGCTTTCTATTCTCTGTTTTTGAACAGTGCATTTTCATAATCACTGTATGACTACATGATAGTAATCACATAGACATGATAGCATGATATATATTGGACTCTGGAGATACACATCTCCAGAGGAGCTGACAATGGAACACAGAGGATGCACATGTAAGCAAATAAGCACAATTAAATGATAGTACTATTAAAGCAGAGTAGTACACCAGTTGCTGCTAGCCTACGGCCCTCCTGAAGTGATCCATGGAGTCTCAAAGTCAGCTTCACCTGGGCACCCTCAGGACCCAGCCAAGCCCTAATAAGTAAGAACCTGCATTTTATCAAGACTCATATGATTTATACACACACTTAATTTTGAGAAGCACTTTATAGGAAATAAGAATAAAGAAATACTGCCTGGGCTAGGTGTAGTCCAGTGGTAGAGTACCTACTTAATGCAAAGTCCTGGGTTGAAACAAAGGAAGGAAGGAAGGAAGGAAGGAAGGAAGGAAGGAAAGAAGGGAGGAAGGAAGAGTAAATACTAGTCTCATGAGGACCACTAATAGATAGATTTATACAGTACTCAAAAATTTTACTTTATATTTGGAGGATGGGAGATAAGGCACACAGTGAATGGCAGATGCTCACTATATTTTATTCCCCTTTTCTTTTGAACAGTTTGGTATTTCTGGATTTTTATCAATTATATCTGAAAAGAAGAATGGAATGTATCTGGTGAGTTACAGTTTTGTCTTTGTGCATCCCTGGGAAGGTAAGAAGGAAGGATTCTTGCAACAATAGTTGTATATAATCATTAAAATATGCATCATTTAATACACAGTGAAGTTTAATTACTTTGACACTAGTTTGAAAGGAGTTCCCACCCAGGCATTTCCTTCTAAGTATTTAAGTGTAGTCACATGAGCAAATAAACAATTAGTCTCCAAATGAGGAGACTAGTTGAGGATAGACCATGCATGTCATGTTGCTTTGTTTGTTTGCTTGTTTTACTGCTGTAGTCCTGTAGGTTTAAGTGCATGCTCTACCACTGAGCTACGTCTCTAGCCCTCATCTTCTTTTTAAATGCAGTCATACCCTCCCTCCCCTCTCACTTCCAGGCAGATCCTGTTCTGCCCTTACCACTAATTTTGTTGAAGAGAAGACATAAGCATAATAAGGAAGACAAAGCGTTTTTGCTAGTTGAGTTAAGGATAGCTATGCAGAAATAGTCCTAGCATTGGTTTCATGTAAAAATGTGTTAAAAAATATATATATCTTAGTTAGATTTACCCCATCCATCATTCTCCCTCCCCCTCCTCCCCTCTTCTAGAACAATTTCAGTAGGTTTTGTTCTTCCATTTTCATATATGGATGCAAAATAAATCTATCATATACACACTCATTCCCTCTTTCCTTGTGTCCACTGCCCTCTCACTGGTAGCCACTGCCAGAAAAGATTTGTTTTTCCCTTCTGCCCTTCACTTTTAAAAAATTAAGTGTATATTGATAGTGCAGGGGGATTTTGCCTTGGTACTTCAGGTCTGTGTATATCATGCTTTTATCAATTAACACCCTCCCCTTTGTTACTCACATTCTATAACCATGCTCCCCTAATATTCAACAGCTTACTGTACAGTGCATTATATTATATTTATATAGATGGGTTACTTCAATATTTTTCATTCTCTAACATTTTCTTTCTCTCTTCTACTTCCCATAGCCCCTTCAAATGTATTCATTAACACAATTTTGTTCTCTCTCTCATATATAATCTTATATGATTATATATGTTTGTATATATACATTTAACTTGTAGGTATACCTTCCACATTTGAGAGAAAGCATGCAAACTTTGATTTTTTTTTTTTAGCTTGGCTTACTTTGCTTAACATGAAGTTCTCTAGTTTCATCTATTTACCTGCAAACAGCATAATTTCATTCTTCTTTATGGCTGAATAAAACTCCATTGTGTATAAATACCACATCTTCTTAATCCCTTCATCAGTTGTGGGGGATCTGGGCTTCTTCCAAAGCTTGGCTATTGTAAATAGTGCTGCAATAAACATGGGTGTGCAACTGGCTCTATCACATCCTGAGTATATTCTTTAAATATATGCATAGGAGTGTATTGCTGAATCATAATGTAGTTCTAATTTACATTCCCACCAACAGTATATAAGTGTTCCTTTCTCCTCACAACCTCACTAGCTTTTATTGTTGTTTGTTATTCGTGATAGCCATTTTGATTGAGGTAAGATGGGATCTCAATGTAGTTTTGATTTGCATTTCCTTCTTGGCCAAGGATGCTGAGCTTCATATGTTTGTTGCCATTTGTACTTCTTTTGAGAATTGTCTGTTCAGTTCATTTGCCCATTTATTCAGTGGGTTATTGACTCTTTGGGAAGTTAGTTTTTGAATTTCCTATATATTCTGGTTATTAATCCCTTGTCAGATGTGTAGCTAATGAGTACATTTTTAACAGTTCCCTTTTAAATCAAAATTTTGAACCAATGCAGTTTTCTGGATGCAATCAACTCTGACATGCATACCAGTTTACTGAATGTGCTGGCAAGTCAAGTCCAGTGTTCTTCTTTGTCATCAGGTAAGAGGAAGCCTTGGAGCAAACACTGTCAGCAGCATAGCTGCGGGAGCAGGAATTATCATCCTGATCCTCAATCTAAGTTACAGCTCTGCTTACATCAACCAATGTGAGGATGTCAGTGAGGACGACAGCTGCTTTGTGGCTTCTTTTACCATTGTATGTATTTCTTGCGAAAAAGCTATGCTTCTGATCTAACTAAGAATCCCTCTTTTCCTTTTCCATGCACACAATCCCTTTTTTGGAACCTCTGTCTCATAGTGTTCTGTAGGTTCATGTATTCCAAGGAGATTCTGACCCTTGTCCCACTTCTGGCCAAATTCCTCAAGGTTGGAATTATCTTCCCTAAGTGACTACCTACTGGTTTTCCCATGTCTGTGTCACTGTGTAAGGACTGGTCATATGGGGAAAAATGAAAATAAGGGCTTTTGTGAGGGAATGAATTTTTGGGATATCCACCATGTGACTTTGTCTTTTTGGTTTTTGGTTGTTATTCAATAGGAAATTGTGACAATGATGCTGTTTCTCACCATTCTGGCATTTTGCAATGCTGTGTCACTTACAGTCTATGGGATTGGAGAAGAACTCAAAGGAAATAAGGTAGATGAAAGCCTGAAATAAAATCCTGAATGACAGTCCAAAGGATTTGAACTTCATCCCTTAAAAATATGGCCTGGATTTTCTGGAACATTTTTTCCAGAAAATTGTCTCAATATTTGGAGAGAATGATTAGAGTGTAATGAAAGACTATGTAAGATTCAGAAAGACAAAAGAGAGATGTGTTAATCTCTGTGATTAATACAGAGTGATTTTTTCCCTTTTCAGATTCCAGATGATTGTCTTTATGAAGAATTAAACATCTATTCACCCATTTACAGTGAGTTGGAAGACAAAGGGGAAACGCCTTCTCCTGTTGATTCATGAGAATCACACATACAAAACATCCTGATTCATAGTGAAGAGTCCAGAATGACAGAGTCTTTCAATAGCCTTAAAGATGCTATTGGCAAACTTTTTATTCTCTTCACAATCTGCCAAATTTTTTTTTCTTATCCACCAATCTGCCAAATTTATATTAGGTTTATTCTCTGGGAAGCATTTTTTTTTTACTGTTTCAGATCACCTAACTTCTCCTCTCATTTGTAAATATGATAGACCCCATTTTTCTTATTTTGTGTTTTGATATCATTACCATCCCTTCTTGGAAGTCAACATGGAATAAGTGAACATGTATTGTAGGTCAATAGCTGTGTAAATAGGGAAGACTAGAAGGAAGCTAGCTGAGAGTGGAACTAGATAATTAATACTAGGCAAGTAGATAATATTTGGTTCTTAGTTCATTTTAGAGTTCCCAACAGCTACAGTTGTGCATGATATGCAGCTACCCATACCCACATCCCCATAAATAAATAAAGTAAATTTTAAGGTATATATAATTTACATATATACATGTAAGTTTATATGTATAGACTTTATGTCCAATTTAATGATAATTCATTTTTGCAAGGACACAGTTTTATAAAAATCTTCTTATTGCCTGAATCACTACTGTGTTCATGGACACAGACTTGTTCAACAATGTTTACATATTGGTGAATAGGTAGTGGGAAATTTTATTGTTACACAGTATCTGGTCAGATAGATAGAGGGAAAATGGGTATACTACAATTGGAGATATCATTCAATAAGACATTTGTGATAAAAGAGGGATAAATTAATGAATACCCGAGTTGAAATGACTTCAACGGGAATGGAGGGAACTGATCATGAAATACATGCAGAAAAAGAAAATGGTAAATTTTTTTGACACGTTAAAGGATAAAGTTAAACAAGCAAGGTTTGTTTAACTATAACAAGTATTTGAGTCAACAGAAAACAGCTGGTAATGATGAAAAATGGTAGGAATTCACAAATTCAAATGGTAGAGGAGGAGTGCAGATAAACCTAAATTAAACTTAATTTAGACTTTCATTTTGAGGACATGAAGGGGAAGTATTGAAGAGGGCCTGATGGCATCCAATACAAAGGTCTGGTAGAGATAATATTTTACAACAGAGGTTTAGACATTATAAGAAAGATCATTATTAAATGAAGAAGGTTAATATTCTTAGGTAATTATTTTAAGATAGAAGTAAACCCAAGCTAAAATTCACATGCCCATAATTTGAGGAGAAAAGTAAGGGTAAACTCTAGAAGACATAAGAGTTAATCAGAAAAGCACATTGCAAAACAGTAGACAGCAGGTAGCAAGTAGAGAAAGGTTAAAAAAGAGAAAGTAAGTAACCATCAGAGACTTTACATGTTGGCTTGGGCAAGAGAAAAGTCCACAGAGTTAAGCCAAACCCAGGTAGTATGTGGGGATGCAGAAGGATAATAGCTATAATGTGTGAATACAAAAAGATGTAAAGGGTTTTCATACAGGCATATGAATAGATAAAACATTTGCAAAGATGTTTAGAAAGAGAGAGTTGGGGGTATGTATAAGTAATAATATAGGAAATTGTGACTAGAAGGTATTGAAGAAAAATTAAGCTAATCAAAATGATTTTGTTGCTGTTGCTACTGTTATTTTTAAGAACAGGAAAATGTAGTTAATGTTTTTAGCTTATGTGGAAGAATCCTATGAGACAAAGAAAAATCAGTTTGTGAGTATCCAACACTTGTCTTTGTCTTTTGTCACACACACACATATACAGAGAACACACACACTCACAGCTGGCATGCTTTTCCCACTTTCATTGCCCCAAATTATCTTTATAAATTTCAACTTAATGGTTTTCTTCTCTATAAAGATCACTCAATGCAGATCTATTCATCTAGCCTTAATTCCCTGTGCCATAAGCACCCTTATCTCATGATTCACTATGGTATAATTATTACTGTTGTTTGTGATCTTCTTATGTGTCTTCAACTACTAGTATTCATGCAATAAGTTGAAATTACATAACTTGATTTTTGTTTGTGTTTGTGTTTATACATGAGGTTGAGAGATTAAGTATAACGGAAAATCAAGCACCAATGAAATGATGCCAAGAACCAAAAATAATTTCTGGAATCCTCTTTACCAACCCTTTCTCAAGTAGGACAATCTATAAACAATTCTACAAACAGGAAACAGAATGTAGGAACAATCAGTAGTCATCTCTTGTTAATAATGGTGGGATAAAGAGGAAAGAAAACTAGACCACGAGTCACATTTTACTAGTTGGCCTTGACTCTACTTTATTTGCTATGCTATGTGAAAGTGTTTTATATTTGTGAACTTACATTAGACAGGGTTTTCCAGAGAGACAGAATGGATACAAGATGATAGATAGATAGATAGATAGATAGATGATAGATAGATTGATAGATAGATAGATAAAGACATATAAGAAGGGATTAAATAGGGGATTTGACTCACATGATTATGGAAGCTAACAAGTCCCTCCACAGGTTGTTTGCAAGCTGGTGACTCTAGAATGCCAGTGGAGTGGCTCAGTCCAAGCCTGAAAGCCCCAGAACCAAGGAAACTGATGGAGTAATTCTGTCCAAGGCCAAAAGCCCTAGACTAATATAGCCATGGTATAAGTCTTAGAGTCCATAAACCTTGAATCCCTTTTCAACACAATCCCAAGGAAGATCAGGCATCTCCAATTTTTCTCATGGTGGACTATCTTTTCATCCATGTTTCAATCAACCAAGCAACCAAACTGTTGGTTCAAACTCCCTGGCTGCAACCTTAAGTGCACAATCTCTCCTTAGAAGGCTTATTTCAATAAATTCAACTTGGTCCCACTTATGTTCCTTTCACCATTATTCCATACCCTTATACATTCTCACACATATTCCCTAGATTTCTTCTTGTGGAAATTAGAAATTAGAAAACTCAAGTTATTTTGCTTTCTCTGATTATCAACAGACTACATTGGAAATAAATGTTTATTTTTATGGTTGATGGTATTTTTCACTACTTTTTTTTAAAAAAGAGGATGTTATTTCTTTTGCTGCCACATAGGTTTATTATATGAAGCATGACTGTGACTATATCACTCAGATTTATTTCTGAAATTAAATAAATATCCCATTAATTCCTTGGACAATGATTGCATGCTTATATGTGCCAGGCTCTGTATAGCCTTCAAAGGTTATTAGAAGTCACATATACAAGACAATGTCTCTTCTTTTAAGAAGCTAACAATACAACAGAGACCCAAAGTCACAAAACAGAACAGATTTTAGAAAAAATTGTCTTTGGATTCAGACCTCTGAGTATTATAATGCTCCTTGATGTCTTCATGGAGGAAATGAACTGTTACATGTGAAATGAGAGCTGAGAATTCTTGGCCAGTAAGGCCAGGCACGTAGGGGTCAGGATTACGGTCAGAGTATCCTTACCAGGCAGAAATGGAAGAGTTTGTTCATTCTGCTTCCTCAGGCATCTGAAGTAGACTGCCTTGAGGGTTTTGACATAGTTGAACATTCAAAAAAACCGTAAGACTTTGCTGATTAAAACATATATCATAAAATCACTGTGAGAAATCAATGAGTTAAAAGAAAAATATTTTAAAGAATACCTAAAGAGACAAAATTATATACATGTCATTTCCTTAGGTTTCCTGATTATAGTAAAATCATCATTTTCATCATGAATTTGATGATGGTGGAGATGATGATGGCTATGACGAGGAACCTGGAGCCTTCTCATTTCCATCATTATCATCATCATCATCACCATATCATTCATAATCATCACCATTGCCCTCATATCTGAATTCTAAAAATACACTTCTCATCAGTCTTCACAACTCTGTGAGAAAGAGACTGTTACCATCCTCATTCATAGGTGAGGGAATAAAGGCAAAGTGACAGTCAACAAGCAGCCCAAAACAACACAGTTCCTAGGATCTCATCCCTTCTACTGGTTACTTGCTCTCTTGTTACTTGAATACATTTTCTTTTTAGTGTGATACACATGAATTAATCAGAGGCATACAGGCATACATGAAAATCTGAGGAAGAGAAGCCTAAACTGAGGGAGCAAAAATTGCATGGGACTTAAATCAATCCTCTCTCTACATTTGAAGGAAAAAGAGAAGGTTCTCAGGTATGTGTGTGTGTGTGTGTGTGTGTGTGTGTGTGTAGGTCTTCACTTCTGTCATCCAATTTATCCCTGTTTTATACTTTTATTGCTACTATAAATTATATAACATTTAATATCATTTCAAATTATAATTGATACATAGAAACTCAATTTTGCATTTGTATCGATGTAATTGGACCATGTCATTGTGAATATTTGTTTCTTTTCAATTTATATACATATATTTAATAGAATGTATTTTCAGAGAAGTTTACATTCATAAAAAATTAAGCAAAAAGTACAGAGAGTTCCCAAGTATTTCTTCTTCCCTGAACTATTAACTACTATTACCATTTACAATCCTGTGGTATATTGGCTATACTTGATCCAAAATTATAATATAGTTGTATTATAATGACTAAAAATAGCATCAAAAGAAAGACACTTGACATACTATTGAGCAATATATCTAAGTGGGAACCTTCATTTTTTTTTAAATGCTCAATTGTTTATCCAGATTCAATTTCCTCTGTCAAAATTGCTGCTATTCTCATCTAGGAAAGCAAAATTAACTTTTCAGGCAAACTCCATCATCTTCAGGCTCAATGGATAGATGTCTCTAAGGGTAAGTTCATGTAGCAAAACTTGGTTCAGGGAACCCTGGAGGTCCCCAAGATCTTTTTATTGTCCATAAAGTCAAAATTATTTTCATAATAATGCTAAACATTACTTTCTGGTTTTCTCTCATTGTCTCCTTAGTTTTTCAGAGGCTATATGGCATGTTATATGACAGCAGACTAAATGATGAATCAAAAAAAAAGACTCCAACTGTTTTCTATTAAGCCTAACATTTAAAATATTG